GAAGGAAGGAAGGAAAAAAAAAACCTAGAGAAAAATACCTCTTTTACATTTGCCTTGAAATAATTTTTAAATACTTATTCTGTTCAGCAATAAAGTGGCTTTTAGGAACCTGTTCCTCACGCTGGATTACTTACAGCAGCCTTGATGCCGGGGGAGGAGCTCAGTCCTGCCTCATCTTGATGTGCAAAGCTTTGTTCAAGTCCATGGGAAGCCTGCCCCTTTCTGAGTGGAGATGGAGGAGGAGTGGATGGGGAGCGGGTAGAATGGGGAGGGGGACAGGAGAAGAGAGGGAGGGGAAACTATTTGGTATGTAAAATAAATGAAAAAAGGTTAATTAAATAAAAAAATAATTAAAGTGGCCAGAAATATTTAACCTAGAAAAAACATGTAACTGTTTGAAAAGATTGCATAGATAAATTCATCCTTGAAAAAGTAAGCAGCTTGTCCTCTAAGGACACAGGATTTGGCAGTAAAACCAAAACTGGATTCCATGTCTCCCTGTGTTCTGTATGGTCATTCTGTAGTCTTCGCCATCATGTTAGACGGCCTCCCTGTGCTCTGCCTGGAGGATTCTGAACTAATATTTTAGGGTATATGATACCTTGCTTCCAGGTGAAGCAACTGTCATCTACTGTGAAAAATCAAAGTAGTGTAATTGTGGCATTAGAAATTGTGTCCTAAGTTCTGCCTCTGCTCGTGTCTGAGTGATAAGGTGTGGTGACAGCATTGGAAAGCCAGTTACAGGGCTAGAGAGATGGCTCGTAGGGCAAGCCCCCATCTAAAAGAACTGAGAGAGCCAGGTGTGGCCACACACACCTGCAATGCACACACGGGATCCCGGGCTTGCTGGGCTGCCGGCCTAGCTCCAGATTCAGTCCAAGACCATCCCAAGGGAATAAGGCCGAATGATAGAAGAGGAAACCTTATGTCTTCCTGTGACTTCCACGTGGGCATGTACACGGGTCCATATAACACACATGCACGCACGCACACACACACACACACACACACACACACACACCAAATTAATTCATACGTTTAAGCTCATGGTCATCCTCAGCTCTGTAGCAGTTGGAGGCCAACCAGGGATTCATGAGACCTGATCTTAACAACAAAAGAACTGAGGAAATGTATTGTTTTCTTTTCAGATTAAACAATGCCATCACACTAATGTCAACCCTTGCAAGTTTAAATATTCATATAATTTATTCAGCCAAGCATTCTACTGCTGTGCTCTACCCCCAGACCTATCTACACAGTGCGCTTAGTACCCGGAAAGGTTAGAATCTGTATGGACTGAAATAAAATCATCAGAAGCTGTTGGAAAGCTCACAGTAAGATGTTGCTAATAACTGCTTTGAATTCCCCTGTCATTAAAGTAGTGATCTAGTCTAAGAGTGGTACGTTAACTCTCCACCACGCACAGGAGACAGTCAGTCTGGAAAATCCAGTGTGAGCTCGACTTTGGATCTGAGGGGAGCATAAAAAGAGAATAATTAGCATAAGTTTTCTTTCTCTGCTGTCAATTCTCAGTTTATTCTTAACTAGTAGTTAGAGAAGAAAAGAGTACATTGTCAACTTCTCTTACAAGGCTAAGCCAGAGTATATTGATCCAGGAAGTTAAGGTACAATATATCAGGAATATGTTTTCATATAGCAGGTGAAACAGAGCCATAAACATAAGTGTCTAAGTAATAATTAACAGTGAATTGAACAATTATGGGTGTAATATAACATTCAAGATAGATGTGTTCAGAGGGAAGCTTGTTTCCTATCTTTATGAGTCACCCATGGAAACTTTATATTTTCAAAGTCACTTTCCATTGGTAGAAACTGTGTCTTAGGAAGACAACATTTCTGCTGAGAAAGTACACACCATCAGGACAGTGGAGGTTTAGAAATGCCTGTGCTAACAGTAGTGTCCCTTGTGACTTAGATAGGTTATAACAAAGACTAAGACTTTGAAAGTATATCCCAGATCTTCCAGTCACAGAATGTGGTCTGAAGCATCCACGTTGCTTGTGTAAACTGCTGTCTTCCAGGTCCAACACGGCTATTCTGTTATCCACCCAACTTGGATTCTATAGCATGTGTGGCTGTGGTGCTGTTTAATAGAGGAGCACTTGCTTTATTCTTGAAAAGTTAAATACTGTATACAAAGCCTTTCTAGAGAATGTCCGGTCGGAATCCTTTAATTACTTCAACATTCCATTCCCATTGCTCTGTTTTTTATTTAATGTGTGTGTGTGTGTGTGTGTGTGTGTGTGTGTGTGTGTGTGTGTGTGTCTGTTCGTGTGTCTGTGTGCGCACCACACCCGAGCTAGTGTTTGTGCATTGTGTATGTATGTACTTAGATATGAACGTAACCACTCCTTGAAAAGACCTACCTAGTTCTGTTTCCCAGACGTTACTTTTATTTTGAGAAGTGTGTATCTTCAGATAAAATACAAATAGCTTCAAATTTGAGCATTTCAGAAACATCTGATGCTTACCATGCCTTAGAGCCTGGCAGAACATGGCACTCTGTCCTGGACACCGTTTTGTTCTTTCAACTGCTCAGCTTAGTAGGATCCCTGGCGCCTACCTCTGCCTGTCAGTTTGTTTTTCTGCTGAGCTGCCTGCTTTATTGGCATTTAATTACTGTTTTCCTCTGATGCCTGGTTTTCATCTAAGTTAGTAATGGTGTACAGCATTTATGTAGAGTTTTATGTGTTCAGCGCTTTATGTAATCATTCACTAGGTAATGCACATATCCCCTTGACATACGTGAGTAGTTTACACCTTTACAGATGTGAAAACCGAGTTCTGATTTGCACTGCAGAGCAGAGTGAATGGCGCAGAAGGAACAGCTGCTTCGTGGGGAAGCTGACTTCACCGGGAGGAAGTGGGATTCTTTTCTTTTTGGGTCCTTGGACTTGCCAGTTCTCCCAGAATGCTCAAAAAAATCTTCTAAAATTTGTATAGTTGGTAACATTTTGTTAAATATAACTTAAAGTTGTCTTACAACAAAATACTGCTCATTAACTTCACCCTCACAGATTTCTGTCTCAACATTTGAGGAACTGTGCTATTTTGATTTATTATTACTTTTCTCAATTCTTACAGAGCCAATCACACAGATTTTTTACAAATGACATTATATAGAATATTTCATTCAATTCTTCCTATTAATTTTTGTGCATTAAATAGTAAAATTTCAGATAATATAACGCAGTCCACAATTATTTCTTAGAATACTAATATGACCTTACAGTAAACTGTCATAAACAAGAATTTACCAGTGAGACAATCACAATGTAGACATAGAAATTTAATACTGAACTAAGAATTTGGAGACAAAATTATTTTGCAAATTACAGTAGACTGGTTTATTTAAATTATGTACTTTGTAATTTACTATGTGACAAATTAAAAACTACAGTAAGTCCTAGGGATAAATGCTTCAATTTGACTTCTAATACCTTGTGTTTCAATATGTCCATGTACTTATATCCTTCTTTTCTACCTCTTTTAACATTTCAGGAGTACGCAGTCAGTCAGTAAAACGCTGATTGTGTGCCCAGAGCAGGCAGGGGAGTCACACTGTCAAACACTCCCCTCGCACAATGACTAAGCCACTTGTTCAGTTAACATTAGTGTCCGCTCTGCTGTGTTTATCCACTACAAATCCCATTCATCTGCAGTTCAGACCATCAAATTTATGTTTATTCATTGTATTTACTGTCTCTAAACTCACACAACGTGGTCACTTTTTAACACTTGGGTTTTTAACAGCAATTTAAATAAAGAAAAGTCAACCCTGCTTCAGACGAAGAACCAAATGGCATTGGATTTGGAACAACTTCTAAATCACCGTGAGGTACTTTTCCCACCTTGTAATAGTTTGTCCTCTTGAGCGTTTTCCAAATCTATGTTTGAGTTAAGATGATTGGATTCTGGTATCCTGTGATCATCAATGACTTCTGTTTGTAGCTCACTGTGAGCTATCCATCTTTATAACATTTGATCTGTGATGTACTTTGTTTTTAGAGCTAACTGTCATTTCTGGAATGCCTTTCTTGTATCTTAGTCACTGGTTTTCACATTATTTAACCACTACCTGCTTTATTTCTTTCTACCATAAGACATTAAGTTTCTCTAGTGTGCCTGTCTTACCTATCACTGTATGCCCAGTCTTCATATGCAATATGTATATTGAGCTTTCAAGTTCAAATATTTTGGCGAAGGGATGTATCTCATGAGCCTGAGGCCAGCCTCCGTCTCTCCTCCAGCCAAGGATAACTGTGAACTTCTGACCCTCCTACCTTCAGCTCCTAAGTGCTAGGATTATTGGTGTGCACCACCATGTGCAGTGTTTAAGGTTCTTTTCTATTTTTAATTGTTGCTCACCAAATGTTTTTAATTCTTTGAAACTGTGATTTGTTAATTTATAAACGTTATCATAAAACATTTTCATAGTGTGCAGTTTAGTCACATTCATCTGCTTCCCTCAGATCTTCCACACCTCTCTATCCACTAACTTTGTGCTCTCTTTCTCCTTCCCCCACCCCTCCCTTCCTTCCACCCTTCTTCTCTTCTTAAATCCATCCAATCCAGAGTATGCTAGCTGATTGTTTTGTGGTTTACATATTAGTAGAAAAGATAACAGGGGCAGGGCCATAGCTCAGTTGTAGCCTGCTTGCCTGGCATGCACAGGGCCTTGGGTTTCATTCCAAGTACCAAACAAAGCTGAGCCGCTATCGTTTCAGCACCAGCCAAGAGAAGCAAGATCGGGGCTAGAGAGATGGCTCAGAGATTAAGAGCACTGACTGCTCTTCCAGAGGTCCTGAGTTCAATTCCCAGCACCCACATGGTGGCTTACAACCATCTGTAATGAGATCTGGCACCCTCTCCTGTCTACATAATAAGCAATGAGATTGCAATTTCCTTGAGTTAAAACATGCCATCCTTGAAGGAAGCTCTTTAAAACTCAAGAACTAAAGAGGCTCATTAAGACTCAAACAGTAAACAACTCAAAAGTCTCAAAAAGTCCCTAAAACTTAGCAGATTCACAAGGCCTTTTCCACCCCAGCATGTGTAAACAGTAATGCCTGCTGAGAAGATACTTCCTGACCTGCAAGTTATATAGAGCACTCCAAGATATCGGCTTTTTCTGAGTTATTAGTCATGCTGGGGTGGGCTTTTTAGTGACATAGCTACCTTTGAAACATCCTTGTTTCTTTATGTATCCCTCACCCATATTCCTGAAATTAACCCCAATAAATACATTGGTTCACAAAAAAAAAAAAAAGAGAGAGAGAGAGAGAGAGAGAGAAGCAAGGTCAGCAATTCAACACTGGCTACATAGGAAGTTTGAGTTAGTCTGAGATGCATGAGATGCTACCTCAAAGGTGTGTGTGTGTGTGTGTGTGTGTGTGTGTGTGTGTGTGTGTGTGTGTAAACAATGTGATTTAACTTTGGGGACATTAATTTCACTTGTTTCCTTTGGCACATACATTGCATTACTACCACCATCAATGTGTAAAATAGTCTCACCACCCCCAAAACTCCCTCATGCCCCCTTTGAGGTGACTTCTTTTCTTTTCCCCAGTCCTGTACCTTACTGTCAACTGACCTATTTTCTTTACCTCTGGTTTCACCTTTTATAGAAAGTCATATAACTTAAATTAGCAACATGTAGCCTTTTTTTTTCACTTTTTCACTTAACTGGCTTTTTTCACTTAACTGAGTATTTATGTCACATTATGTGGCTGCAGCACAGTCCACTAATCCATTCACCTATGATAGCTATTTGGGTCATACTATGGTACATTTAATTTTTTAATTTACTCTTGTATTAATATTACAATGTAAGATACTAATTATAATTTTGTAGCTATTTTATGATTTTTGTTGTTGCTTATTTGTTTCATTTTAAAGTATATTATCAAATCTACAAAGAAAACCACTTTAGACAGTTGTATGTAGGTATTTGTGCAAAACATGGGCCTCTGTTTTCTCTTAGTACACACTAGAGCACAAATGCTGGGTTTCAAGGTAAGCATATGTTGGTAAGAGACTGCCAGACTTTTCCTGGGTGAATATACTTTTTCGCTTTATATGCAATGATAAGAGTGCCAGTAGCTGGGTATGCTCACCAACAGGTAATTGTGCTAAGTGTAATGTTTCAGTCCAAATCATTTTTCCAGTATACTATCTTAATCATTGCTTCTTCCAGCCACATTTTTTTAATAATTTATCTAACTTTATTTTTATGTGCATTGGTGTGAAGGTGTCAGATCCCCTGGAACTGGAGTTACAGACAGTTGTGAGTTGCCATGTGGGTGCTGGGAATTGAACCCTGGTCTTCTTGAAGAGCAGCCAGTGCTCTTAACCACTGAGCCATCTCTCCAGCCCCTCCATCCATATTTCTATCATTTTATTTTTCTAAAACAGAAAGTTTCCAAAGAAATCACTGATTTATGAGACTACTAAGGTTGTTGTCTGGTCAGGAAAAAGTCTGTCAACTGTTTGGGAAGAAATGACTGGAAGAATATTGTTGAAAGAGATTAGCTGGGGCTGTTGCTGGAAACAGTTCAAAGGTGCGTGTCCTAGAAGTGCTGTGGGGGTGTTGGAAGGTCATCCTCTCGAGAAATAGAGAAGGGGCTGGAGAGACAAGAGCACTTGCTGCTTGGACCCTGGGCTTGGTTCTGAGCACCCAGTGGGAGAGCTCACAGCTGCCTGAAAGTCTAGTTCTAGAAGTTTTAACATCCTTTGGCCCCTATGGGCAATGGCATGCACATGGTGCACATACAGTCAGGGGGCACACACATACACATAAATTAAAATCTCATTCAAACAAAAAAGAAATGACTTTTGGAATAGGTTCTCTTAGAGGCGTCTTTTACATCACCTTCTATAATGGATAGAAGAGTAAAGCGGGGCAATCATGGCAACACTGGCCTTGAGTCAGCATTCTAGACACTGAGGCGGGGGCTGGGCTAATAGTGAAACTCACAAAAAATAAAAATAAATAAATACACACACACACACACACACAGTAAGGGGCAAGAAGGTAGTCCTGAATTGACTTTTTTTTCCTTGCTTTTTAGTACAGGCTCATGTACCACAGATTCGTCTCAAACTCACTATGTAGCCAAACCTTGAACTTATGATCCTCCTGCCTCCACCTACCAAGTGCTAAGATTTCAAGGAATGTCTACCATGCCTGGTGTTTAAGCTGCTGAGACCAAAGGCGGGACTTGGTCTGTGCCATGCGAGCTTTTGGCTGAGCTCCATCTCAAGTCTCTGGACTGCAGTTTAGCGATAACCTGGAGATAGATAAGCCCGTCAGGAACAGAGGGCAGAGCTGGGTAGAGCAGGGGCTTATTCTTTCTTCGGCCTTTCGCTCTGGGCCATCTCCATCGGTACAGCCATCACTTACGTCCTAGAATTCTGCCTTCCAGTAATTGTTTCTTCACTGTGGATGCCTGACTTTTTCCGTGTATGTTTTCAAATCTGAATATTTAAGAGATCAAAACCAAAGGTTTCTGTTCCATTGTAAAGCTGTATAAGACTTTTTCTTTTCAGAATGGCAAGTCTCATTTAATTTTAAAGGATTATGCTACACTTTGAAAATTATAGAAGCAATTTTACTTCTACATTTTATACATCAAACTTAAAGCCACATTATTTATGAGTCCAAATAATAGCTCAAAAGCTCAAAATAACCCATCCTCCTTCAGCTGTTTTCTCGGGCACTTTGTCACGTGACAAAAACCCAAATAGAGGTACCCAAGGCTACTGGCTTACTCTATACAACTTCCAGGCTTGGGGATATCATTTCATGTAAATCATGGTTTTAATCAGCTGAATTCCAAAAGCTTAAATTAGTGATTCAGATAGAAAACAAATGCACACTTTAAAGTTCCTCAGATCCTGTTCTGAGTTAGGGCTCCAGCTCCACCTCTTAGGCAGACCACTGAGGTCTCATGTGGCTCTATGTGCTGATGTAACATGAGTTAGATCCAAGTCACACGCTGGCAAATGGAAAAGGCTCCAATTAGGACAGTTCCACATTGTCATTCCTAAAACATCTGGAGTCTGGCCATACAAAGTTGTCCTTTTCTGAGTGCATGTTATCAAAATGTATACTGGAGCCAGCAAGTGGTGGTGCACGCCTTTAATCCCAGCATTCGGGAGGCAGAGGCAGGCGGATCTCTGTGAGTTCAAGGGCAATGTGATCTCTGTGTTTTGTAAGACTACTTAAGGAATATAAGTACTGCCATGTATATTCTGTATTTAACTCTTTCCCGCAGTCCACTGGTAGCTCACTGGCCCTGTTGGTACAGGTGAAATTGACTGTGGTAAAAGTGAAGCAAATCTACCATGCTTACAGATTACATACTCTTGAAATTAAGAGTATAAAGTAATTCCATTTTTCATTAAAAGAAAGTCCAATCAACTTAGTCCCATTTAGACAAAACAAAAAAACAAAACAAACAAACAAACAAAAACTCCTTATGAGTTATTGCTTACATTAGTTCCAGGAAAGTTTTGCCTCTGTAAATGAAGTTATATCATTTCCTTTTTTTCTGTCAGAAAATGAAAAGTGTAATTCAATATGCTTCATTTTTGTCTTAGTTGCCAAAAAACTCATAGCTGAATGTCTTATCCAAGTGTTAAAGGCCTTTTCCCTTCTTTTATTTTTGATGCCTTACAGTAAGTACCTACCCTTTTCTATTTCCTTTCCAGTGGCTTATAATCTATTTTCCTCTTAAATGCCTTTGCTTGCACTAAGATTGATCCTTGATGCACAGAAAGTAGAAACCTTAAACAGTTAGGTTTTTTAAGAAGAGGAAAAAGGAAACAATTGACTCT